TGCTGACTTGTGTGCCTGACCATGGCAAATGTGAGCCATGGGGAAAATAAAATACACAAGGGGCCAGCTCTGCTCTCTGTGCCCAGCCTGCTGTTGCATTGGAAATGTTGGTGACCTGGGAGTAGGGACACACAGGAGACACCTGGTGTGTAACTGCTCACAGCCTGCTGGTCTCTGCCAGATGTTTTTCAGTCCTGTCATTCTGAAGACCTGGAGGCTTTCTTGAGTCTCTGGAAGTGTTTTATCTGTTCTGAATAAAGTACTTTTATCACTCCCTAATGGCAGACTGTTGACCCTAAACACTCATTTCATGATGTTTTCACCCAAGGAAATTGAATGCAAGAGATGGGAAGCTAGGCAGAGGGCTCAGAGGCATTTTTCTGCTGTGCACCTACACACAGCACTCCAGATAACTGAGGTGCTTTCTCATAAGCAGTCAGACCTGTTGGGGTGGTTCTGGTGGTTCTGATAACACCCAACTTTGGGCAGCACAGGTGCTGGTTGCAAATTCACCTGCCTCTTGCTATTGCAAACTGCAAAATAAGTGAGGTGGACATTACCTCTCCAGGTCTCTAGTCCAACCTGGGCCCTCTAGGTCAGGTGGCTTAGGATTGTGAGCAGTGGAATTGTGAACATCTTGAAGAATGTTGTTCCTAAAACCTCTACATGTTTCTGTTCTATTATTCCTCATGGGAAATATCTTTTTTTTTTTGGTATTTAACAAAATTTTTGCATGTGTACAAGGTCCCTATTCTAGCCCATTATTACTTATGTGTGGTTTTTTTTTCCCTTATTGGTCCATGGCAGAGTCTAAAGGCAATGTTTGTCAGGGGACAATAAATTGGTTTTTCCCTCCTCATGAGCCCAAACAGTTTTATTTTCAGAGTTAAAAACCTCCTTTTCCTCTTCTGATAACTTTTTAAAAGGATAGCTTTCTTTCTCTGTGTAGGAGTGGGAGAAGTCCCCAAAATATGCAGGTTCTTCCTCTTTTTGGGTTCAATCATGTAGCAACAGGTGGTACTAGGAGTTTACAGACTTTTATGCCCAGAGTTTAGGAAATCTTTACTTTGGCTGATCCATGGAGATGACTTGCTTATTGTCTTGTCCTACTTGATTCTGACATGAATACTATCTAGCTTTCAATAGATAGTCAAATTATAAACTTTGATTATGGCTGCAGATCCCTAAATTCTCCTGGAGAAACTGGCTGGTCATGGCATGGATGGGTGCACTGTTTGCCACACGAATGGGTGCAATGTTTGCAGGACCCAGAGAGTACTGGTGAATGGGGTTAGGTCCAGCTAGTGGATGGTCACTAGTGGGGTTCCACAGGGCTCAGTGTTGGGGCCAGCCCTGTTTAGTGTCTTTATCAGTGGTCTGGCCAAGGGGATTGAGTGCATCCTCTGGGCAGAGGACAAGCTAGCAGTCAGAGAAAGCACCAGGGACACAACTTGCATTTTGCTTGATTGTCAGGATTTACATTTAGTTACATTTGGTAACACAGCTTAGTGGGACTTGGCAGTGTCAGGTGTACAGTTGATGATCTTAAAGTTCTTTTCCAGCCTACATGATTCTATGATTCCTAGCAGATAAACTTAATTATTGATGTGACCCCCCATTCACAATCTCCCATTTCACTACAGCTTTGTGCATCCCGCTGTATTTATGTCTCCTCCCACAGGCCTAAGGAAGGCAGAAACATTGTGGGGCAAGAAAAGCTATGAATCCCATGTAAATGAAAAGCTGATTTTTAGAAACTAGGAGAGAAGCAAGCTATCTGGAGTTTCCCAAAGGTTACCAGAAGGTAAGAGTGTGCATGCAGATAGCTACAGTACAATAGCCCCAAAGCCCCCTACAGAAGCCACTCCTCTTTGACAGATGCTCTTCAAATGAAGAGAGAGGGTTCAGTTCAATTGTCTGTTTGCAGATATCTGCAAATTGCTGGATATCCACTGGCAGATAAGAAAGGACTTCCAGAAAACCCAGGCCCTTCCAGTGCAGCAGCTTGGAGCTTGCTGCAATATCCCACAGAATCTACGGTGACACAAGATATTACTGGAGAAGTTAAGATCTCAGTCCCAGCCCTATTCTCTGCTCCAGAGTGCTTCACAGTAGGGTTTTTCACTGGGGAAGCTGGAACAGACTAGCTTGTGTAGGACCAGCTTTAGGTCAACTCTAAATACTTTTCCACCTAATGTCAGGAAGAAATATTCAGAACTTAAAAGGTAAAATTAAACACATGTACCAAATTCTTGTATAATTTCTCACCAGTTGATGGAAGAAGCACTTAAAAGGCTTAATTTTTCCTCAATGAAAAAGATGAACACAGAGAAAAGTTGGGTTTTTTTCCTTAGGTTATCTAGCTAAGAACTCCCTGTCCAGAAACCTATGCTACTTCTAGAGATGCTTTGAGTTTAGAAAATGAAGCAGTTGCTACATTACCAGCTTGAAAATCACAAGGCTAAGATAGAAGCCAGTGCAATCATACACATGAAAATGAATGCCACAGCTTCATCTGTGAGCCATCTGCCCACAGAATAACGCTTCTACCAAATTGTGTACCACGGAGTGTCCTCCAAAGAAACATACTTGCATTCAATAATCAGGAAAAAGCAAGTCAGCTTTGCCAAATAAATGAGACTGAATGTGTGTCAATGACACTAATAATAATAGTACAGTTGAAAACAAACAGCTCCTAACAGAACGTTTATGCATTCAAACGATAATGATGAATAAAAAGCCTTTCCTACACCCCTATTGAAAACACAAAATGAGCTTTAAAAGAAAACAAATGCTGCCGCCTAGAGAGCAAACTGGAAATCCACAAATCCAAGCTCTTCATTCTGTCTCCCATAGGATCCAGACATGGCTTTCCTTTCTGCTCTTGCCCACGGTCCTGTGTCATCCAGGAGAGATTTCTCTTTTCCTCTAGATACTAGTGGGCAGGTAACTAACCAGTTACACCTCTGGTGGGGAAAGCCTGCATACCCTTCCAAGGGTGCCTGAAGCAAGGAGCTGAACACTTCTGAACTACAACAGCTGGGAGCTGGAGCCCAGCTGTCCCAGAAAACACACACACACGCTGTGCCTGCTGAGCAACAGAACGTGGAGTTCAGGGAGCTATTAAAAACATGTTTCCTGGGAAAATTTAAAAACAATGAAAATTCTGCAGGAGGGAGAGTTGGGAATTTAATCAGTTAAAAAAAACCTCTTCTTGTAACTCAACCAGGGAAAAAAATCCATTCATCTCCACATTTCATTAGCAAAAGCCAGTAAGACATCTTCTGACCTTCCTTTGATCTGTATGGATGGCTGCACATTCTCCTCCCAGTGAGACCAGGACTGTGCTGATCCTGTGAAGCTAGAAAACATCATAAAATCTTAATCAATCAAAATATTTTTCAACTACCTGAGCTCAGACAGAAAAAAAAGAACCTTTCTTGATTCACAATCATGCCATTCAGCTCACATAACTCCTTGTTAGCCTCACACACGTGTAATAAGCTAATGGGAATGCTTGCCATAAGGTTGTTGATGTCTAAATATTACAATAACATCCTTCTATGACACTGTATTTTGAATTATGCTGTGAATCTGTTATTATTATGTTTATAAGTTATATTGAGAAGGTATGTCAGGGGAGGTTTAGGTTGGATATTAGGAAAAAAAGGTTCTTCACACAGAGGGCAGTTGGGCACTGAAACAGGCTCCCCAGGAAGCACCAAGACGGAGTTCAAGAAGTGTTTGGATAATGCTCTCAACATGGTCCTAAATGTAATATACAGTTTTAAGTTAAAAAATTAAATCCATCATACTGAAATTCACCATCCTTTTCAGCTATAAAGCTTCATAAACACCCAAATGGGGCACACTACTGCTTTGGCTTTCTTTTTGCTTCCAGCCCTCCAGTTGTGCCACACATGACATTCCTCTATTAGCAATTAGCCTTTGCTCAAAGAAAATGAAAGCAGGCATGTGCTGGAAGGTAAGGATAGTTTTGATCCTTTAAAGGAACTGTAAGGCAAAAACATTATTGTTTTTCAAACCCGAAGTCACTGACCTGAGAATGTTCCTCAGGCATGAAATATGCTGTACATCTCTGCCTGCAGTGCTGCTGCCCAGCAAAGCTGTGGTCTGGGGCCAGGGACAGAGCAGGTGCTGCTTGGCCAAGATCAAAGGCAGAAGCCACCTGTGCATTACCAAGCACCACAGGTCAACCCAGTCACGGTTAATTTCAATCAACACACAAAGAACGAGTGTTCAGTGGAACAGAAAGGAATAAACCCAGGATATGTGCCCATATCCAGGATAAGAACAAAGAGAGGACCAAACCCCAGTTCCTGCATGCCCTCCCTATAGGGAGGCCCACCAGAGTCACTCTGGAGTACACCCCTTGGCAGGAGTCTTGAGCTTTCCAATGTTGCTTTCATGTTTGCCACAGGAAGTGGCTCATGGGTGCCAGCCAGGCCGTGACATCACAGCCCCAAGGAGCAGTGCCCAGAGGGACGGAGATCTGGAGGGCAATGCATGCCCCCTGCCCATGCCTCCAGCATTCCAAAACAGCCCTTACTTGCAGCAAGAGCAGAGGGTGCCCAGGTCACTGTTACCAGCAGGACCTGCAGGGAGGGAGCCAGGGGCAGAGGCTTAGTATGTGTCAGGTCACCATCACCAGTTTGGTAGCCACCACAGGAAACCCCTCCAGTGGCTCTCCAGGGGTCACTGGCACCTGTGGGCTCGGAATATCCCAGAACCAAAGAGCATTGCCTCTTTGATTCCAGGCAGGGCTGTGGGAATGGCGCTTGGTACCCATTAATTTCCTTCCTTGGTACACTCAGTCCCTTCTCTGGACAACTGACCTACTGTTACAAAGTCAGGACATCTCTTTCCATCTTTAGTAAGAAAATAAATCAGGGTTCAGGTTATAACTGTACTGTGGATATGTTTACAACCACTAGTTTTAATACAGTAAACATACTTTAAATATGCAAGCTTGTTTATTAAGGCTACATAAAAGGTACAATTAAGGCATTGCTTCCATTTGGATTGTCTGTGACCCTCTTATTTTCTTGACAAGTGGCCATCTCTCATATCAGCAATGTCCCCTTCGGAGAATTTGTATATTTGTGTTATCTTCTCTGCAAACAGAAGAAAAATACATTACAAGAGGAACACTACTTGAATTTTACAGACAGATTTTATAAAGTGGACTCCCTCATGTCTTTTTCTATGGGTTCAATTAAATGCAGTGATGCATTAATTGCATCACTTACTGTAAAAGCATTACCACAAAATAACCATGATGCAAAAGTTTATGAATCACACACACAGAGTGAGTAACTTACCACAGGCTTTGTTACCTATAAAAACCTGATCAAACCATCCGCAAGTCTGAGAACTGTCAAACCACATGACAGATCTCACCATGAGAACTAATATGTCCATTACAAAGCACTAATAAAAGTTAAACTTTGTTAAACTGGTACAAACCAGTTCTAATGCTTACAATATTTTCCCTTTTCACATGGGAATTCAGTGGGAAGGGGTGCATCCTGATGCACCTCTGCATCTGAGGCTTCACTAAATTTTGAATGTGTGTGGTTCTCTGAATGGTGGAATCTTCTTTAAGGAAATTTTAGCCAAGTACTCCTTAGTTTGGGAACACTGATTTGGTTTTCTTTACAAGTCCTATAAATAGTATTTTGGGGTGCGCCATTTACAAAACTCAATTTACCAGGCAAATGGAGACAGAAAAAGAAAGTAATAGAATGCAAATTGTTCCAGGCTATCAGTTTGTTTCCTTATCTTAATAGAATCAAGCTGGTTTACTCCTCATGAAATTCAAGAGACTTATGTTTACCCAAAAGCAGGGTTAATCTGTACTAATAGTTTTATCAGGGATCTTTTAGCCAGAAATTAGTGGAGCAGATCAGGAATATGGAAGGCAAAATCAAGGCCAGGGGATGTAAAACGCCAATAAGGAGGTAAGGAGAAGTTCTGGCTGAAGGACAGCTCTCACACTAAACCCCGCAGAGACAGCTCAAGCCGCTGCATATATTTCCAAAGAGTGTGTGTTGCTGTCACACTAGGTTTAAACTAAGATCAGATGTTGTCATTGCTACTGGACACTGAGTGTGGAAGAGACCTGGGATTCACATTTGAGCACCCACTTAAGAACAGACTAAATCTAAGCTTTAAAAGGAAAAAAAAAAAAAAAAAAAAAAAAAAGTAGGGAGGAAAACCAGCTTTGGTCTTACAGTTAAGGGGCTTCACAGCCAGGATGGGGAGGCTTTGTGCTGCACCTTTGCTCCAGTTGTCTCACGTTATCATGGATCAACTGCAGCAACCTCTTCTGCAGCACTCCATTCACACAGGGCTCCCCAGGTGCCCACACCGTCCCTCATGGCTAAAAGAGCACATGGACAGACCCGTCTTGGCCATAAGGAAGTATAACTCCCTCCAGTAAGTCCCTTCATGGGGTTAAATATGGGCTAGAACAAACGTGCAAGATGGCAACTGAGAATCACCCCAAGTTAATTGAGAAGTGACTGTTTTGTAATTTAGTACCAGATGCATCCCTATATCTGTTTCTACATGGCCACATTACACTATTTCAGCAACTGGTCATGCAGCTTGCTAAATAGGGCAGAAAAATCCCTTTGTTCTGTCCTCCTAAGAAGTGTGACAGACTGTACCTTAGATTACTTGGAGTTGAATGACCCTTTCTTATGACTATGGACTGTTTTTCAAAGCTGAAATTCCTCCAATAAAGCAAAATGTTTTATCTGTGTTGTGTTCATGCCAAGTCAAACACTTTAGAACAACTCCAGACTGAACTAGAAGGGCCCCTAATACTCAACTAATACTCAACTATAAAAGAAAAACCATCAGGAGAGTATCTAACCACCCTGTGTCTCTTCAGACCAAAATACATGTTTCTGAGCATGTAAGAAGACAGCAAAAAAAGATGGTTATGAGAAAATTCTATCTTTTGTGTATAATTGGATTTAACCCCATGTATCACACAAAACATGTACTTTTACATCTTACACTAAAAAGACATAAGCCCCATCACTAATTACTGAAGGAATTACTTAAGGAGTTGAAATTAGTAGCAGACGTGACTGGAGAACCCTTTGTTCTGTCTGCAATGCTGTATTCAGGAATCTGCCATGCATCCATCTGGAACTGAGGGATCATGCCTAAAAACATGAAGCATCCTAGAAATGTAAGGCTGGGTCTTAAAGCCCATCCTTCTGCTCTGAAAGGATCAAAGATACTCTTTAGGTCATGAGATGCTCTCCTGTCTTTATCTCCACAATATGGATTTGCACTCTCTTAAGAGCAATACTCAGCACTTCTCTTTGTCTTTTACTGTACTCCATTTCTCCAGATCCCTGGGAATTTTTATATTATCCTGCATGGATCACCATATCCATGCCATTTTGCAATTTTTATTATATAAAATATAATACATCTTTCAAATGTAAAATGCTGATCACTGCTTTTGAACCACAGCATTTCAAACTTCTGTGACTTCATCCTTTAACAATTTCAGCTGAATAACTATTTGTCTGCTTATGTGAATGTCAAGTGGAGATAATGTAAACTGCCTTATTAATGTCATGCACCATATTTCTTCCTACTCTGTTTGGCCAGTTACCGTGCCAAAAAACTAAATCTCATGGATTTGATTGGATTATTTCTGACAAATCTGTATCTGCTTTGCTTACATTCCTCTTTACCTCTGGCTATGTACAAAGCCAATCACTTAATAACTTATTCCAACATCACTTGAGGCAGGAAAGATGAGTAGGCTTCTAATACATAACATGCCAGAACCTCTTTTATTCCCTTTTAACAGATTCTACTGTGTGTGAATTTTGATTACTTTTCTTTTTTTTTACTCACTGTAGGTTTACCAATTCTCTTTGCAGTTTGTCACTTGCTTGGGTTGTTTGTGCTGTGCTCTGGTGTTACCAAATTCTGCAGATCTGCATGACACACTTCAGCACTTTCTTTACCTTGAGTGTCCTTTGATATGTTTTTCACTTTCCTTGTCTTGGCCTATGTTTCTTTTATCTTGGCCGTTTGAATTTTGTAGATCATCTGGTCAGAATTAATCTTTCCTCTGCCCCAAAGTCAGAAATCTGTTTCAGCCTTGCCTTTCTTGAGATCTGTTGGCTCGCCAGTTTTTAAGTTCCCCTCGCTGCTATTCTGCTACTCTCACTTATACCTTCTACTGGAAACAGAAGATCTTTCATTTCATTAATATAAATTGCCTTTTACCATTGTAATTCTATTCACAACGGTTCTTCCCAGTTTGTACTGAGAGACTGCTCTATAAAGGTTTCCAGTCAATTGTAATGGGGAGTAATAATGATCATTTGATTCTCCGTGTTCTAAATTTGTTCTTAAAAATTATTAAATTATTAAAGAATAAAATACCCTCTCTCAAATATCAGGCAGTCTTCTTGATTTTTAGACAACCTGAAGGCAAAATAGTATTTTCTCTTAACATTTAGCATTCTTACTCTTCTTTGTGAAAGAAGGGATCTTGAACATAAATATCTTACGTGTAAAGCTGCATTTTGGGTGGGATCTTTCATGTTTTCCGATGGAAAGTATGGGAGGGTCTGGCATTATATTTATTGGTTCTATGACATTGTATGAACATGACAGGCAACCTCCTTCCAAGATGCTCCTTCTCAGGAATTACTAATACAAATATTCAGTACATCCAGCTGACTGAATCAAATCGAACCCATTTACAGCTATCACAATAAAATCTGTTGCACAGATTTTACACGTCTGGAGGGACACTGCTGAAACTGCAGCGCAACAGTGCAAATGATCCAAAGCCAGTAAATTATCTATCAGTTTTCTGGAATGTCAGGGTGAATGTTCTGCTTGCGTATAGGGAAGGGAAGGACAGAATTGACTACCTGTTAGCAAGGCAGAGAACACACTCGTTTCCATAGGTCTCTCCATCAGTGCCACAAACTGGATGGTAGTCCCTTGGACACGCATACTTCGCATACCTGGAGCAGTCAGGCTAGGGAAGACAGGTACAAAGAAGTTACACCATTTGAAACAGGCTTCTGCTCAGCTTCTGGGGAATCCTGGCATGCACAGAGGCATCCAACGGGAGCTGGCACAGCATTTTAAAGTGCCACATTATCTTTCATGCTCTTATGAGAATCTGTCACTTGAGGCTTGGCTCCTACTGCCTTGCACGGCTTAGCTGTGTGTTGGGGGTTAGGTGTTTAATTCTGGCTTGCCTGTGGAATTTTTACCCATTAGTTTCGGGGAAAACCTAACTGCGGGTACTTCGTGGGTGCTTGAGAAAAAAACAGAGTTCGGCCGGGCCCAGGGGGGAAGGGGGCAAGAAAAAGGGGAAAGTGGGGACAGTTTGATGGGCTTTCTTCAGCTTCGGAGAAGAACACGTTGGGTGCAGAGCTGTTGCGGTGGGGAGAAGGGAATTTTGCCATCACCCAGACGGAGCTGCTGCTTCTTCTTTTTCCCTATTCGTTAGTGGCCTCGCACCCCCTGCCCTGCCGGGACGTGTGGCAGTGCCAGGCACCGCCGCGGAGCTGCTGATCCACCTCAGGCACCGGCCCAGGATCTCAGCTCATCCCTGCTGTTCCAGCTGAGTGTTCCTCAGAGCCCTGCAGGAGCACCGGCACTGACTGCCCGAGGGGGTTTGTGAAACCAAAGCCTCTCCTCCATCCCGTCTCAGCCGAGAAAGCTGTCACGGGGTCCCTGGTTCTGTTTTCTTGCTAATGCTGTAGTTATTGTTGTTTGTTTGCCTGGTTATACCAGTAAAGAACTGTTATTCCTATCCCCAGATCTCTGCCTGAGAGCCCCTTGATTTCAGAATTATAATAATTCGGAGGGAGGGGGTCTACATTTTTTCATTCCAAGGGAGGCTCCTGCCCTCCCTAGCAGACACCTGTCTTCTAAAAGCGAGACACTGTGGTGACAGGACATACGTGTGCCCCACAGCACAGCCCTTCCGACCTCTGAGCATCAGCGGGACGCACGGACAGCGAGTCCCCACGAAGGACAATGCAGGCGGAGATGGTAAGAGACAGGCACCGCCAGGCTCGTGTGCTGCGGAGCCAGCAGCCTCCCGGGCCCCTCGGCTGTGGGGAGAGACCCCTGCTCGGCGCCAGAGTCAGGGCAGGCGCAGACCCCCAGACCTGGAAGGGCCCGGGGACAGCGGGAGGCCTGGCTGAAGGCAGGGAGGGCGGCGGGACGGGCGGTACTCACCGGGTAGCTGGCCATGGCTCCGGGACACGAGAGGAGCCCTGCGGATGGAGAGCGAGCAGCGTTAACGGCGCCTGGCCCCGCACGGCTGCCCCCGACCTCCGCGGGATCAGCCCCGGCTGTCACCGACCGGAGCCCGCCCCGTCCCGGCACTCCCCGGCCCGTCTCTGTCCGCTCCTCCGACACCCCGGCTGGCCGCTGTCCCGGCCCCGACCTGGACCATCCTGTGCCGGTTCCCCGCGCCCGGCTTAGATTGCGCCGCTGAGCCAGCCGGGGCACGGCACCGCTTCACGTTTCCCCTTCCCTGGTCCGGGACTGGCCGGGGCACGGTACCGGCCCGTCTCCCACTCCCCCGGCACCGCCTCCCCTGCCCCGCCCGGCAGTGCCGTACCGGCGAGCAGAACCGGTAGCAGCAGCAGGAGCGCCAGCGGCCGCGCCATGTCGCGAACTGAGCGGCGACACCGAGGGCGGCTCGGGGCGCAACGGCCGCGCACGCGGAGCTAACGGGGGGCGCGGGGCGGAACCGGGGCGGGGCGGAACCACTGGAGGGCGGAACCGGGGCGGGGCGGAACCACTGGAGGGCGGAACCGGGGCGGGGCGGGCCGGAGCGGGAGCGCCGCGGGACAGGCGCGGGGCACGCTCAGGGCTGGGGTGGCACGGCGGGGACGCGGCGCTGAGCGCTGCAGGAACCTCCCCAGGAGCACGCTGGCGGGGATGGGAAAGTTTCCCGTCAGGGCTATGCAGGTGGGCAGCACAGTTAATTGGGGGTGTGTGCGCCGGCTGTGATTTCTGCGCTCCCCAGGCCTCCCCGCTTGACTTCAGCTCGTTCGGGCTGTGCTTTGATTGCAGAGCGTCTTGGGCAGTGCAGGGAGGTTGGAAACACGCACGCAGTAGCGATAAGGATGGTTAGCTTTGCAGAGCCCAGAGGCTGCCTTTGCACAGGCTCTGGCTCTGCAAATGTTTTGATGCAGTTTCCTAAAATCTAGGGTATGGACTTGTAAAATGGCCTGTGCTTCTGTGTATGAGCTGGGGTTAGACCTGTTGTCTAGAAGTGTTTTGAGATGTCCCACATAGGTACTTACATAGGCATCACACACACCTTTCTTCTCTGCGTGTCAACCTCTGAATCCTGTCAAGTATGGCTTTTTTTCTTTCTGACAGTGTGCCCTACCTCCATGGCACCATAGGGAGGTTAGTTTATTATCTGCTTGATATATTCTTACTCCTCCAGGTGACCTCTGCAAATTGATTGCAGTTCCAGATTTTCATTCCGTGCACACCTTTGTGGTTATTACCAACACAAGACATGTTTCATGCAAAGGCCTCTGGTTTGGATGTTACAAGCAAGACGCCTAATCAGAACGTTTTGCGGCTGGGGAAGCATGTAGAAGGATACTTCTCTCTGCCTGATCTCCTTCCCTAGCTTTCCCAACTTTCTGCCCCAGCTTTGCCTATTAAGCCATTTGAGATGAGGGTGTCTTTCTGTTACTTTGTTAGTGGTGGGATGGTGGCTGGATTTGCCATCCTGGGGGAAAGGATTGTAAAGGGATTAAATTCCGGAGAGTTATGCTGGTGTGGGTTTCCTTGTTTATTGAAGGTGTGATTTTCCAAAGGGAAAAGTGCCAGCTGAAAGTGAAGAAAGCACAACCACAGGGAAGGTGAAGAAAGCAAAACCAAGGGTAGAAGTTATTTCTTAGGTTGTGAATCTTGTGTAAGTTCGTCTGAACAGTTAAATGCAGAGCTCTTGCTCAGAAAAAAAAGCCTGAACAACATGAACCAAGTAAGAGCTCAGTGTTCCACTTGTTGGTAGCCCAAACCAGCTTTCTCCTGAACAACTCCTGCACAACAAGCACTAAACGTGTGTGTACTGTCATCATGCCACCTAAGAGAATAGATGCCCCCTAAAAAACGTACACTGATGTGTTTCCCAACATATTTAATGTTAATTCCATGGTCACAAATAAATGGCCTGAATGAGACCATTTGGGTAAACATTCATTTCAGTTGCCTTTCTGTGACAGTGATATGAACTCAGTCACAGCCATGTGTTCTGTCCTGGAGAAAATAGGGAGAAGTAAAATAAAGGTGCTCTATTGACTCTCAGTGTGACAACCATATTTGAAACTGGTGCAAATCTCCTCAAGTCTGAAAGCATTTTGTTTCACTTTCTTGCATTTTTGTACTGAGAGTATTTAATTTTGCCTTATTTAAGTAAAATTTTAGAGACAAGTCTTTAGAGAAGGGAAAATTGTAGAAATGAGATTTTAAACAGAAGAAAAGATAACTTAAAATTTTTTTCTTCTGGCAAGATTGAGTGTCTATTACAAGACACAAATTTTCTTTCATAAGTTGTTAAGAACTGGAGGCAAGGAAGAATATAATTATGCAGAGAGCTTCTTAATAGCTTTTGTATTCTGTTAACACATTTCTGATACGAATGCTGAGTCATTGAAAAGGAAAATTGCAGAATTATTTGCATATCTTCTAGAAGTTATCTTCTTGTTAAAATCAGGTAGCTGATTAACAAACATGGAAGATAATAGTGAATCTAGCATATAGGCTGCAGGGAACAATGCATAGTTAGAAGTTAACATCTGTACAGAGAAGGTCTTTCTGCTTTATGCTTAGTGGAGTAAAACTCTGTGCTTGGAAGGTAGAATTTATTTGAACTTCAGTCAAACTCTTCTGGTGCTGCCAAGATTGACACAGATTGTAACCACCTCCAGTGGAGTCATGTGAGAATGGAATAGAGGGGGGAAATCTCCTCCCTCAGCCTGCTGGCCATTTCTCTTTTGATGCAGCCCAGGATATGGTTGGCTTTCTGGGCTGTAAGTGCACAATGACGTGTCCAGCTTTTCAATCAGCAGCACCCCAAGTCCTTCTCCAGAGGGCTGCACTTTATATCCATTCTGTCTATCTGATGTTCATTTTTAAGTAGCTGAGTCTGTTTGTGAAAATCTGAAGTTTCCCCATACTCTTGGCATTTCTTGGAAATAAAATGTGTTGAAGACTTGTGACCTTTGACATCTTCATCTTTGGGGATTTTCAGGACTCAACTAGACAAGATTTTAATTTTGTTGATCTACTTTTGCCAGTAGTCCTGTTTCATGTGTGAGGGGAGTAGAGACCCAAAGGTCCCTTTTAGCCACCCTTCCCAGGGTTTAGGTGCAGGGCAGGTTGGAAATGAGACAGCAAATCTCAGCATAAAATTAGTTCACAATCTCAAAAAAAAAACAAAACAAAAAAGCTATCTATCACCTCACTTGCTTAAAACATACAGGAAGAAATCCAGGTGATGCCTTAAGTTTTAGCTTTCATATTTTTCAGATTCTGCGCTGCCTAGGTGTGTAGCTCTGAGCTTCATATTAAGTGTTAGTGAGCTCTCTTCACAGTGTAGGTAGACAAAACCTACACTGGAAATTCCTTTTCCAGCTTGATACCAAGGACAATCATTACAGCTTTCAGCCCCAAAAGCATAAGCAACAGTAGACTGAAGAGAGGAAACAAGGAGGATGTGACTTCATAATCAGAAGGTGTAACTGGACAATTAACCCAAATACGCAGATGGACCAAAACTTATAAAAGTGTGAGACCTCATGACCGGTCATCCATTTTTTGTGACCATTTTAGGTCCATAGTGGGTGTGGCCCTGGCCAGGCTCTTGTACTGCCCAAGGTGTGTCCTTTAAGGCCTTTTAATAAATACCTACTTTATTCTAATTTATTCTACTCTGTCTAACCTCTCTTCTAGGTCAGCCGTCTCCAGGCATCACAGGTAGTCCCAGGAAGATTGGGACTAAGGAACTGGATTGCCTGCTACCTCTAGGATTCAGCAGTGCGGCAGGAAATATCCTCTTTGCCACAGGTTGTGGTGGATGCTAACAGTTTAGACTTGGAAGAAAAAAAGAGTTGCAAGGTAAGAAACCATAGGTGGCCTTAAGAGCATGAAAACTCCCACTTCAACAGGTTCCTTCAGGCTGCTGAAGTCAGGAAGGTGATAACACGGGAAGTCTGGGTATGCATTTGCTCCAGTTTTCTCTTGGCCATTGTTGATGGCCTCTTGGAGAGTGGAGGCTGGTGAGAGGGATGCTGTGATAACACATAAGCTGCAGTTAATGTCCTCTTGCAGCCCCCAGTCATTTGGGGGAGGATGTTAAATCCACTGTAGCAGCAGGACAGTGCACTGATGGGTCTGCACTGCTGCAAGTGGTCTAGAAGGGCACAAGTGCTTGGGCACAATGCTTGGGCACATCCCAGATGTACTTGTGCCGTGTATTTGTGGGTCTCTTGCCAGAAGAACAGGAGTTTGTCTTTCCACCTGAGTAATTGCAGGGGTAAGACCAAGCAACATAGCACAGGACAATCAAAAATGCTTCTGAGCTGCTTTTTGGCACACCAGTCTGGGGTGGCACTGCTGAAAGCCTCTTTCATAAGCTACTGGGGGTCTCCTGCCTCCTGTGAGACTGGAATGCCCTGGAAATGGTTTGGCATGCACTTACTGGCTGATTCTGCTGACTTGAACCTGGACAGCAGCAGGGCAGAGATGGACAGAGGGGGAAGAGCTGATTTTTATAATGTTTTAGTCTCCCTGACTAAGATTCCTGCAGGGAAGAAGTCAGCAGCACTGAGCAGACCAATAGACTTTTGGTGTAAGTCTGGGTTTGTTGTGTGTAGGGAATTGGTTCCAGTAGACCAGCTGCCTCCCTGACCATGTCCTGAGTGTGAGCTGTGGCATCACCTCTAATTTTGGTAGATTCCTCCAGGCTGTTTCCATAGAGGCTGGGTTCGAAGGCTCATAGAAATGTGGAGGAAGCTCCTCATCTCATACACTCCCTCACCATCCTGTCAGTGGTATTCCCACCTCCACACCACTAAGAGATTGCTCTGGGGGTCCTATCTGTCACACACAGCCCATGAATCATTCCATTCAGTTGTGCTCCTACGTTTGCAATCCCACGTAGTCCCAAACACAGGATCCAGGCCTCAGGGATTCAATTATTTACACTCCACTCAGTCTTTCCATCCTTGATCCCTCTGTGCCCATTCATTTTGCTCCATCTTGTGCTGTTCTCCGCTGTATCAGTCACAGATGGGCAATTTATCCTCTCCTGTTTCCCACATGAATCCCATCTATCACCTGCCTGTCTTTGAAATTAATTTACTGGCTGGCCAGCTGCCCACTTTGTGTCTGTGGCTGCTTCCCATCCATGTGTGATATGGGGGGTGCTCACTGAAGGGGGTTGGCTGCAGGTGCTGCAGTGTTCTGTGCCCTGAGGAGCATTGCTGCTCTGTGGGCTTTGGGACAGGACTGCTGCATGTACTGTGGGACAGTGGGGAAAGGGCTGCCAGCAGGTAGCCACTCGTTCTTGGATCTGCTCATGCTGTCAGTCACTGTCACAGCACAAAGCAGCAGCCTCCTGCCTGGCAGAGAGAAGTGTGTGTACTGCTGCAATGCTCAGGCTTGAACAAGGGCTTTAGGAGTCCCTGGAGCC